ATGTTACTGTCATTAACATCAGGTTTTTTGTGGTGCACTCTTCATACTTTGATCCTCTTGAAATCATGTTTGTCTTGGTCTTGACGTCATCCTATGACAGAACGACACAAACATCTGTAAGAGTTCAAGTAAGTCTCATCATAATTTCTTTCCCAAACAATTTGACACATTGAAATTTGGGTCTTTGTAATCACCATTTTTCTCAGTAGGTCATTGGTTGATGTGCCCTCAAATTAAGTACCTACTACTGTGATGCTGCTTTACATAGGACATTAGTATACTGTACAGCATTCCAACTCTCATTCTGATCATGACGCATGCCTAACCATGGTCATTATGACATCACATAATGACCATATATGGGCACATCATGACTATATATGGACATATGGGAAATATTTCATAGGATTTGAACCTTTGACCCAGGGTTAGAAGTGGGATTAATTCTGTGTGAACATACCAAGGATAATAGGATAATCCATGAAAATCCAGACTTACTTCCAGTGGGAATCTTCTGGTGGGGATTGAGCAGCACACCAAGAGACAATCCCCTACTCTTTTACGAAGAGTATATTCAATAATAATAAATAATAATTGATGGATTATAATGCAAATAAATGAGGTATCTATGCATAGAGGCTTTTTCGCATGATGCGCTCTACAAATCCAACTATTATTATTATTATATTACTTGACAATAGGTTAAAGCAGACAACAACAAAAAAAATAGCTAAATAAAAAGCACTGAAAAAACCCCCCCAAAAAATACCAAGCTACTGTTGCACCCAATCTGAAATATGGAGTTACTTTACAGTAATCATAGCCAATACTGTAGCTCTGCATTTTAAAATCCACCTGTATTAAAGTGAAATTAATGGAAAATGCCATGATAATTCCTTGCAGATCAGGCTCTTAATGTCGAGGACAGAGATTTGAATCCTTTGCTATCCAATTTGCTTGAGCCCTTGACCAAGGCTTTTTACCTCTGTTTTCTCATTCATCCCCTCCCCAGGATTATAAAGTGGCATTGAAAGCTAATTTTGTATATTGCAGGATAAGATATGCCCCTTGTAACCAAAAAGCATTTTTTTTTTTGTGGTTTGCACATTATTATAGATTTCCACTGTACTGTAGTAATGCCTTACTTATAGGTCTAGTAGTGTTATGTACTAAGTGTCCCAAGTTGGAAGAATTCATTTCTGGAAGATCTGTTGATCAGGGGCGGATCTAGAAATGTCCGAACCGGGGGCCGAAAAGTGGGGAAGATTGATTTAACATCACCCTATGGGGTCCGGGGGCATATCCCTGCGAAATGGTTGTTTTCTAGAAGCCGGAAAATAATCTCTGAGGCTTTTTTGGGCGATCAATTTTTTCTTTACCTTCTTTTTTTTTCTTCTCCTAAGTCCGCCCCTATTTATTGTAGCATGCTAATTTTCTTCTGCTGCTTATTGTGATACCAATCAACACTGATTTCCATGAGACAAATGCTAATTAAGGGGTAATACATTAGTAAAACATGCAGATTTTAATTATGAAGATGGGTTATTTTCTTGTCTGAGTGAGGGAGACCGTCCTGATTTCTGAGAGACTTGTGGAGACTTGGAACCCATGATGTACTTTACTTCAGTACCACATAAGGTGGACACCCTATGTTTGATAGATGGTGGTACACAGTAAATATATCCATGGTGGTAGTATGGTACAGTCGACATACAAGCTTATAGTTGAACACTTAGGCTATGTTCACACACACGGTGTAAGGCTGGCTTAAGCCTGGCGTAGCGTACGCCTTTGTGTGTGAACTAGGCAGTGGCGTTGTTAAAGCCACTCACTACGCCACGTCCTTGGCGTTATTAACGCTACCTGCAGACCCCAGATTAGCTAACGCCACTGAGCTAACGCCAGTGATAGTGTAGTGGGTCAAGTGTGTTATTCATTTAGATGGTTGCATGTTCTTTATTAATTTTTGTTTATGTAAGATAACTTGCCTTAATTCTGATGATTGGTAATAATGATTTTGAAGTAATAGTTGAAATACTAGTATACCAAAGTATTGAACTTGAAGTTTCCCCAGTATGCAAATTTTGAAGCCATAACTGCATCCAACACATTTGAGGTTACTCAGTACTCATTTAAAATAGTTTTACAAATTAAGTGTATGCTTAACACTGGCAGTGTGTCTCAGCTAGCTATAAAAGTGTCAATGCTTTTATTTTGCTAGAAATAGAAGTATTTTGCAATAAGTCTTTTCTTATAATGTCAATCTTTAGCTACACTCTTTTTCATATGCCTGTGAGTAAATGTATCCAAAGTTAAGTGGTTGTTTGGTTTAGATATGCTAATCCTCATTAGTTATATTGATCCCTGGAGCTCAATACTCAGTTTCTGTTCAGTCTTTGTCAGCATCAGTCTTTCATATTAATTACTTCCATGTAACATGCAGGAATAAGTCAAGTTTGTAGCAAAAGCTGAAGTGATGCGTTCTGGACATTCTTATCTTTGGTTACGATGCAATCACTTCTCACTTCGTATATTTCTGAATTATTGATTTCACCACTTTGACATTTTGATTGTTTATACAGTACCTTTTCACCTTCTCTTCTGAAAGCATCAGGAGCCAACACATTCTCAGAGTGATTCAAGGTTTAATTGGCTATCCATAATTTTCAACATTTTCAAAGCAGTATGAAACATACTCTTTTCTGTGACTCCCTTCTTCCCCCTAAAAGAGTGTACAATAAAATTGTATCATTTTGAAATCATCATTTTGTCTTTTACATAAATAAGAGTACTTAGTCAGTTGCAGATCCAGGAGTCTCAAAATAAAAAATAAAAAAATTTTCTCTTTAAATTTTGAAAAATTTAAGGGGCCCAGGCCGACTGGGCTCCCCCTTGAATCCGCCACTGCTTATGCCAACACTTTCAACCCGCTTCCCCTATATGTTTTGTACCCTTTGAAATGTTTAAAATTATGGATGACCCCTTACTGACATTATACTAACATGTATTATATATAGTCACAACTATTAAAAATAAGGCACAGATAAAGATTTGTTGGTTTCTATTTTTTTCTCATTTGACATTTTACCTCAGCCTCAATTTGTTTTTATTTTATTGATTTTTTTTAAAGCCATTTCAGCCTCTGTTTTTATTTTTAAAAAAACAAACAAAAAAACAAGTGTATCCATCGATACGAGCGAGAACAAGGATGTAGTGCACTGTGTTTGTTGTTTATAAAGTGAAGAATTGGAACAGCCAAACCCCAAAGCATTATTTACTTTAAAATACTCACAGGGGAGTTGTAAACAATATAGGCCTTGTTATGTTATCAGAACACCCTTACAATAGTCTAACAAATTTCTTTGTTTATTAATGCGTCATAGTTTATCGAAATCACAAAAACGTGACAGTTACTGACACTTGTCTGTAGAAAAATTGTTGAGTGGGTGCAGTTTTTTTCACAGCTGATCTATGTCAGTCATTCAGATTTCAATAAGGGTTTATATTAGCTTAAAGCACTATTATTGTTGCAATATATCTTAAGTTGATTTAACCAACAGTGGACTGGTTGTTGACTTTAACTTAATTTTTATAATCTTAAGGCCTATATACATATATATACTTTTATAGGACTTTATTCGTTGAAAAGCTACAGGGTAGCCTACAATGTTCCATCATGTCCTTATTTAAACACTGTTTATGTACCTTTGATGATTTATATTATATATGTATATAAAATGTAAATGCAATGAGAAAACTCTATCTGTACAATCGTTGAAAGTTGACTTGTGGAACACAAATTTATTAAGTGATAACAAAATCAAATGGATATTTCGATAGCTCCTGCTATCTTTATCAACGTTAAAGTTATCAACTTAATAAGTTATCGCTTAATAAATTTGTGTTCCGCAAGTCAACTTTCATTGATTGTACACAGTTTTTTCATTGCTTTTACATTTTATTTCATTTGGAGCATACATACAAACCCACTCTTCAATATATATATTTACTTCCTTTATTCGGCTCTTAAGGGGAAACTCTTTTGCCTATGATTTTTATCGTCGTTTTAGTTTCCCCTTAGCAATACTACTTTCTCCTTAAGGTACTGTTTTTAACCCTCTTCATTGTTTTAGTATCCCCCTATGGATACTTCTAAGCTCCTATATATATATTTTATATATACTGTACATAAAATACATAATACTTACACAAGGAGCCTATATATAGCCTAGTATATAAAGTAGTCCTGTGGACGAGACGGAAGTACGTTTTAAAGCCTTAATTCCGTAACTCTCTTTAAAACACGTAGCCTCTCTCCCACTAGGGGTTTTTTCAGCATACGAGTTACAAGAGAATGCCGAGTTGCTAACTCGGCAAAAACTCGTAGGACGATTCGGAAAGCTC